ACCACACAATTCTGAGCGGATTGGATCGTATTCTGATAAGTACAACAATTGATTTACATATTTCGGAGTGGAATGTGATGCATGAACACTTGAAGTGAGGTCGGAAGGATTTCGTCAATTGTAATGGTACAACAGAATTATATCTGCGGGGCTCATCACAAAGCCCATATAATATCGTCATAAATGCCAACATAGATTAATGAACGAGTAACAGAGGTGAAGCAATGGAAAGTCAGAATAATGGAGACTTCGAAGCGTGGAATCACCGATGCTATTTGCCGCCACAGCAGCACGACTTTGCAGCTGGAACAGGGATCTCCTCGGTGACGGGTGCGGCCGGTTCTGCAGGCTCCACCACCGTCATCGTTTCTGTTTCCGCTAACTCTCCGCCATGTTCGGTGCAGCATCCGTCACACGCTTTTCCACATCCACAGCGTCCATTGGGACATCCACACTGGCCGCCGCAACATTCTAGCTTCGGCAGCTTGATGAATCCAAATGGGCCGCCGTTTTCCAGGGACGCTGATGGATAAACAGTGAGGTCCATCGGATCTATCTGCACGCCCTTGCGGGTAGTCGGTGGGGCTGGAAGAGCAGCAGCGCGTGCAAAGAATTGATGAAGGTAACTCGGCCCTGCGTCGAGCCCAGGAAGGGCGATCCCACTCCGATTATCGACACAATGACCACAGGCTTCTTCACCGCATAAACCATGTTCCTTGTTAACGTGTTCAGAACCGCGGTGCTCTACACACCCTGGGCAGTTACAGGCGACGCCACAGGTGCACCCAGAGCCAACAAGTGATGTGATTTCGCTCAAAGGCGGCATAGTCGCAAATGTAGGAACGTCGACGCCCTGGAATTCTGGAATATGGATCGGCGGAAGCTCCAGCCTGGGTGGATCCACATGAACGTGCCTAGGACGTTTGTGCTGTGGGCTGTTGGGCCTTGTTATTACTCTTGGTTTCGCACTAACTTTCCTAGCTGGAGGTGGAGGTGAGGGAAGGGAAGATGAAGATGAAGATGAAGCGGCCATCGGCTCTTGAGAAAACAATTCGGCAGCGCGGGCAAGTGCAGTGAGCCCGGCGTGTTCATCATCATTGACTTGAGAGGAGTCCGAGTTTCGGCATTTGCACTTCCATACACTCTTACAAGTGCAGGGGTTCAAAAGTGAATCGACTACAAGAGGTGTAAGACACCAAATGCGGTCTATGTAGAGTAAGTAGTCACCTAGTTGCCGTGCATCAGGAGGCTTCGATGTAATAGACTGAGATGCTTGGAGAACGTCCTTCAGACCATTGGGTAGAGCAGGAACGATGGGAATGAATCGACGAGCTATGAATCTTGTTAAATGCAGAAATATGTTCAAGAAACCAACACATACATTTCGTGTATCCTGCAACGGGTTGACTAGGCCCAGCTTCATCCTTGTTGTTGCAATTGCACTTTGAATGCACACGTCTCGACTGTCGTAACTGACGGCAGCTCTCGCATTGGGACACTGGACGGCCTTTTTTCTTGATCTCGAAAAGAGGCCTGTCGGTATGATGGCAAGACGAAGAGCGGTGACCCTTAATGCACGATTCGCTGTGGTGGAGGGTTGGTGAAGATGAGCAAAGGCGCCGAGAAGGATTGGACGTACCATGCGAATTTCTTGTTATTCACGAATACCTTTGCATTGATCCCATCAGCTGGAGCGTCCTAATATACGACAAAGCGGCGTACCATGGCTTGTGCGGTGCTGGAAGACGACCTGGCAAGGATCGTGGGGAAAGGAGGGCCAATAGACCTGTGATGGTGCAAGACTATTAAAGGTCAGTCAAACGGGAGCCGGCAGGCACCATCTGTGGGAATATTACGTAACAGTTGCCGAATGCCGCACTCAAGGGGCATTTCCGCGTGAGCGGCACCTCGGCTTCCCCAAAGACTGCGTCACACAAGTTCACTGAGCTCGAGCTCGCACTCTCACTGCCGTAGGATTTTTCACCTCGTGGTCTGTTAAGTCCTGAGAGATTTCCTTCATGCCCATACATACCCTGTAATGTACTCCGGCTCAATGTTCTTCCTTGCTCTCATCGCTTTGAATTGCCGTCCATGCATGCAACCGAAGGAACCAATTCAGAACGCCAGAGTGTGCTAATTCGCTGGCGCTCATGCATGTTTCATATAAGTCTGCTGACCCGTGGCGAAAATAGCTCTCATTCTATAAGGGTGCGTAATATATTGTTCTTATACTTCACGCGCTTTACGCGACTAGAGTTGGTTAAAATTGGCCCCCATTCATCACCTCGTCCTGCTGATAGTGTGGATTGTGGTCTGGGTCGCTTTTTTTAGCATATGACTTCAATCTTTCTTCCAGAGCGGCAAATTTGCCCTAAGGTCTTCTGAATCTATTCAACATCTCAACTTTGCCCAGACAACACATCGGTATGTGCTTTGTTTTCACCGAGTCTTCTTAGTCTATGCTTACAGTCTCATTTCTATTGACATTAACTTTAGATTGAACCACCAGCGATTCGATATGATACATAAAGCTTCAACGACCTTGATCAAGTACTTATCTGTATTATGGAGAAGGGTGATTTTGAATGCTATTCCCACCAAGATACCGTCCTCTGCGGCGTACGACTATTCTACGACTATGTCCTGCTATTTCGGCAGGTCCCGACAGTCGGCGATATCTAGACGGCCCTGAACTGCGCAGTTCCACGCATTCTTACAAGTGCTGCGAGATAAAGGATATCCTTCACCAACGTGCTCTATGTTTTACTATCTATTGGTGCGCCTCCTTGCGTCGGCAGGATGTGTCCTTGGCCACCCAGTTCCCTTTTCAGTCAAAGCCAAACGACTGGGATTTGGATTCTCAGCCTAATATAAATGCTACAGGGCATCTCATATTTGACACCGTTAACTCCTTCCTCCAGCACTGGCCTAACACGCGCTATCGTAACGGTAAGTGAAACATGGTCTACTGGCTAAAATTCCGTTCAATTGTATTTCACAGGTCATAGTCTGGTTCCTGGAACCATACCCGTTGGGACGCTCCTCTATCATGGCCGTGCCGATTCCAACGTCCCGACCGAACCACAGTGGGTCGCTACAGATCCCGAGCATTCATACGTTTTTTGTCGCGGGAATACAACGACCGGATGCTGGCAGTTGACTCTGGTAGTCACACGTGCACTCAATGTCGTATATTTTGATGGAAGTGGGGCCGCGAAATTGGTGAACGGTCCTTTAGAGACTCAAGATATCGTGGCGTGGGGTCGCATTGCTCCCGAAAACATCAGGGAAGAGTATAAGCGGATTGCAGATCTTTGTACATGGGGACAGAAGTTTGGCGTCGATGGCTTTCTTAGGTATGCTTCCTATCCATCTTGTCTTGATGTCACAAAATTAAGTTTTTTTTAGGATGGAAATGGACTTGTAGGCTGTCGTGACGTCTTATCCTTGCGAGTCCCTGATTTTCTTGTCCAGTGAAATTATGCTCTGCGATTTTGCCGCTGGTGTCGAAGTGCTTTCGTTCCTCCAGTTGAGCGCTGATAATCCCCAATTTCCTATGCCCCCACACCGAGGTCCCCAGCATTTTGATGCCATTCCTCAGCCTGGAAGGCGTCCAGTTTTCTCTCCGTCAGTCACGCTAAGCCACTTCGAGGTCCTTCACGCGGGGTCATGGCATAATCGCTATCCTGGGGATACACGCATACAACTCGATCTAGCACGCATGGTATCTTTCTATGATACATCTATCGCTCCGAGCCTAATTTCTCACCGCTTTGGACAAGAGAGGCTTCACCATCATATCGGAGGAGCTTCTCAATTGACATTCAGAGGGCCCTGAATAGATTGGAAACAGCGGTGCGAATACCCCATGGGGGCGGCAGCGGTGTTGATTGGAAAACCCTGGTACAAGTGATAGTTGAACGTTATCAAGATAGATTCGAGATGGTGCAGTACCTGCTCAACATCACCTCGTCGGAGTACAAGGTACAGATGGCTAAAAAGGTACAAACCCAATTGCGAGTTATGTTGCAGCCGTACTTGCTTCACTCTGTCGCTCCCTCGGTTCCGAAAGCGGCGTCAATGATCTACTCCTGGGCGGTTCCGATCTACAAGCTCTGTGCGACGTCACATACATCGTATATTGTGTCTTCCCCAGTTCTAACTTCTAAATTGACCGAATCAGAGCATTTAATACTCGGTGCGGTGATGGAAACTAATCGCGAGATATGTCGCGTCATAACACGGATGTGGGCTAAGGGTGTCTTGAGCGGATTTGATGACATGCTTCCGTATTCTGTGGATCAAGCCAAAGAGGCGGAGAGCGTTCTCTCGGAATGGAGAACACAGCTTGACACGCTGATGGGGTGGTTGGATTGGAGTGTTTGGGTGAAGTGTAGACCTGCTTGTGGGCCTGAGGTATGCGATGTCAGTTACCTAGACCGCGTTAAAAATTTAATATCTGTGCTTAAGGAAATTTGTTATCTTCCGACCTGGCCTTTCTTTGGACGCACGTTCCCCGGATTTCCTGGAGGTGGGGAAGGGTCCAGAATGGCGTAAGCAGCCCGGCAGGCACCATATCATTGTGATAGAAGATGAAGGCATAGATGATGGATGGGAGAGACCGGAACCGAAGTGCCTTCGTCGATTTGAGCCGTATTCGTTCTAAGTAGATTCATCGAGTCTGGGGGTTATTCAAGTTCATGAGTCACGACTCGTGATGCGAAGGAAAAGAAGTTCAGATTGTACCGTTCCCACCCCGAGTCAGTGGCATCGTCATCCTGGGGCATTAGACATGATGTATCGCCTTCCGGCGAGCGAGGTCGGGACCTCTTAGAGGGAGAGGCAACGCGATGAGGAAGGTCGGCATGTGCAACCTGTCTGATCACATTGTCCATACCTCAAACTTTACTGTTTAGTATTCACTGAGCACTATGTAAACTGTTCACCGTTCAGCCAAAATTAAAAGAGTATCATGGAAAAGTAGACCAAATACTCATTTTTGAGTCGACCCAGGTTCGAACTGAGGACCTTCTGTGAACACCGCTTAGGCTGAATGCATGATGTTAGACAGATGCGATAACCAGCTACGCCATCGACCCATAACAGTGACAGTTTGGCTGCTCAGGGTGTATCATAGAAAGACTCGGAAACGTTGATATTAATACAAGATCGACAAGAGGTAGAAGGAATGGTAATCGACGCTAAGGAGATATGCGTTAGCGTCATCATATATGAACACTCAGCAGACGAAGCCTACCAGAACGTCAAGCACGATCCCCCAACCTGTCCGCCGAAGACGGAGGAGGATTGGGTAGGTGCGAATTGGGTTTGTCATACTGTGACCTGGATGGTGGCAGGACCCTGCTAACAATTGTTGCGTGTTTGATTCGTACTGGACCTGCTTGAAAGCGATGCAGGAAGCTCCTAGGACGTACACGCTGCTATATGCTGAGGTTCTCGGTTGAAGGCGGTATCGATTTCCTCGCTGGCTTGCATGATGATGGAGAGAGCGATGTAAGACCCGGCTCGCTACCCTCTCTCGCTCGATTACCCTTGAATAGGAGCGTTTAAAACGCGCATTCCTAGTGGTATTGAGTCAGGTGACACTTCACGGCCATTACGGAGGTTTGCGATCTCTGTATGTTGCTGTGGCGTGGAAAGTCTCCGTGATTCGGTTGTAGATCAGAAGGGAAGGCTGTTCCAGGGTTGATTTGGGCCAAGGTCGCGTTCTCATGCACATGGACGCGAATTCGAATCAAGCAGGGATACTTTGGAGAAAACGAGGCGATGGCTCTAGTCCTCCGCAGAGCTTTGTCTTACCAGATACCGCGATATAGGAATATTATGACGACATTTTGCATTGTTTCGGTGCATCACCGTTATCATTATCAGAGGAAGAGAAGCAATCTTGCCTTGCATTAGTTGAGAAGTCAGGGCCCTGAGTGGCGGTCTGCGTTTTTTTTGGGTCCGAGGATGTACAGGTGACCCAGTGCTCCACCGCTGCCGCGCTGAGCGACCTGAAGACAGCGATGGCCGACACGGTGCCATTCCGTCAACTTGCTAGTATTATTCTGTGTGAATCTTAATTTTTTTGTTCGGCTTATCCGCGTGCGTCCGGAACCGTCGTCAGTGTTGCCTAAGATTATTGCAGCACTCGATTGAAGTCTAAAAGGCAAGAGATGTTCCAGTCGCTGGCGCTGATAAACTGGGCTGTCGACGGAGACTAAGTACGGGAGCCAAGAACAGGCTGTGCAGGGTCATACAGGGCCTAGAAGGTGTGGTGTCGACTGACGTCATCGTGTGAACATGCGGAGTCGGAGCTGGTTAATCTGAGGTACCTTCCAGCCGCCTTTTCCGCCCTCACGCACTTCTTGTGAGCTTGCTCATCGTTGTCCACGGCGTCCTCCATGGACTTTTTCTCCGCCGCCAACGACGTTTCGGCGGTAGCTCTCACTCAAAACGACACATTTGCACAGGCCATAGCGTCCAGTTTTGGCTCTTTCACCGCACGGCTTCCGTCGGTCGCTGTTCCTCCGTCGTCCCAGCCCACTTCGACACCGAAACCAACGTTGCACTCCAATAGCTTTCATGCTGTTCAACACAGCGAGCTTACTGGTCTCGTCAATACCCCTTCCGTGTTGTTCATTGACATCCGGCCCCATGCCCAGTTCAGCAATGCTCGTCTCCCCAATGCGTTGTCGTTGTCGGTGCCTTCCACGCTCCTAAAACGCCCCATGTTCTCTTTGGACAAGCTTGCATCGATGCTTTCTTCTTCCTCTTCACGCTCACGATTCCTTGGTTGGAATACATCAGTCCAAATCGTTGTCTACGACGCTGACTCTACGTCGCTGCCCGACTCATCCAATATCCTCGGCCTTCTCAGGAAATTTGCCAACGATAATTCTGGATACTCTGGAAAGCTCTGCTGGCTGCAGGGTGGCTTCCAGTCTGTATGGCGGGATCGGCGAGAGCTTATTGACCAGCAACCATTGGTGCCTGATCCTACAACCACGTCGGCTCCTCCCTCAACATCCCTCAATCCGAATCTTTTGCCAACAGCAGCTTTCCGTGCTCCTAAACGGCAGTCTCCCTCATCTCTACGAGCCGGCATGTCAATGCCCTCACTTCCTCATCAACCCTTTAATCCATTCTTCGATACCATCCGTCAAAACATAGAGCTCTCTCATGGCATTACAGAACGTATTCCGCTCAAGCTCACTGCTCGGGCAAAACAGCGCTTAGCTGATCTTCCTTTCTCATGGCTGCGTAACATTGCTCTCCGAACGACTTCGGAACTCGAGACGGATGTAGAAGAAAGCATGGAATCCCTCGCCATGCAGTTCTACCGTATCGAACTCGCTGAGCAGAGAAGACTAATGGGTGTTATGGAGCATCATTCGCGGGAATCTCTTGTACAAAACCACAGCGAACGCAAGGGCGTGCCTGTCAAACCGTTCCCCTTCAGTATCACTGCAGGTGTGGAAAAAGGTGCAAAGAACCGGTATGATTTTATTTTTTTATTATAATATATCGTTTTAATCAGTGGTGTCATAGATATCGTCATATCTGGCCCTTTGAACACGCTAGAGTGCGACTCCATTCCGATAAATCAATATCTCCCCCTCCTTCCTTGGATTTCCCAGTCTCTTCCAGCGTCTCGCCCGTATTAACACCCTCCTCTTTTACTCCCATCCTTATGCCAGCCAAATCTCGGTCTTGCAGCTGTGAGGATACCGATGATTATGTGAACGCTTCCTACGTACAGCCGCTGTGTACTCGCCGACGATACATAGCCACGCAAGGTCCCTTGGAAGCCACTTTCGTGGATTTTTGGACGTAGGTCTTAGCTTCTAATGAACTCTATGCTTATGTCTAACAAGCTCGACAGTCTTGTTTGGCAGCAAAACGTTCATGTTATCGTCATGCTTACCCGAGAGATCGAGGGCTCCACTGTGAAATGTAACTGCTATTGGAAAGACGGTACCTACGGCTCCCTTCACCTTCGATTGATCAGCTGCGAGGGGAAAGAAGACGGTGGGGATAATATACCATCCAAGCAAAACGGAGGCTTTTTCAATTTCTGTGCCGATGAAGAAGAGAAGACTCACCCAATCATCAAGCGGACCTTTTTGCTCACCCACTCCGGATATCCACACTCCAAACCGCGCCGAATTGTCCATTATCAGTATTTGGAATGGCCGGATATGAATGTTCCCGACGACCCTCGAGGTGTCCTGGAGCTCATCAAGGAGGTGGGGAGGGGCATGGAGGAAAGTGAGCGGCATGGGGATAACCTCGATATCAACGGATTCAATGCCGAAGATCAGTTATCGGACGGTTGATTCGCGTACAGGCGTTTCGCGCCACGGGAAAGGCATCCAGCCGCTTCTTTTGCACTGCAGTGCCGGTGTGGGAAGGACTGGAGGTTTTATCGCTGTCGACGCCGTCCTGGACGGAATCAGGAGAGAGATTCGAAAATCCGTCAAGGACCAGGTCAAGACGGCCGAAAATAAAGCAATCGAAGGTCGTACCGACAGCGATGGTGATATCGTGATGGATGAGACAGGCCAACGTACTATGCCCATGCCGCCTAACAAAGGAGGTGATGTTTTGCATGTTCCTGTCATAGACAATGGAATGTCGCCTTCTACCTCAATTTCACAACGAGAATCAGAAGGAGACGACACCGCTACAAGACGATGGGCCGAAAACCTAGAGCACATTGACAGTGCGTACAGTCGCGACGTTGGCGATTCCGAAGGCAGGTCATCCTTCGAAACTGCTAGTTTGAGTACCGCCTCCTCTTCCGAAGAATCCTCCTCCTTTTTCCCCCGTACCGGGCCGAAAAACGAATGCAAGGAAAATGATGGGGAGATTTCACCTAATGCGACAAGTAGCGGATACACAACCTCGTCATCCTTTGTCACGACGATAGCTTCCGAACCGAGTAGCAAGGATGGAGTCGTTGGTACGACGAAGAAGTCATTTCCGAGCTCGAATTCGGTTCCTGGTGTCGATTTCAAGACTCTGCTGAGTGCGCGACTGGGGGAAGAGGAAACTTCACGCGCGCGGACACAGTCGGCTCCGGTAGCGGGTGTATCGACAAAGGACGGATCTCCCTTCACTTCAAGGAGCCTCTCGCCGTCTGGCAGCGACATGAAGGATGCCAAGGACTTAGCTGCGCAATCGACGCCGAATCTCAAGCTCTCTTCAGCTTCTACGACACGACCACTCTCTGCTGTGGCTTCTACGTCGACAACGAACGTCGATTACAAGGATCCTCGTCCGATGCATAGGCCTGACTCCCCACGCTTGTTGAGCTCCTGCGACGAGCCACTGTGGGAAGTTGTTCAAGATATGCGAGAACAGCGAATGAGTCTGTGCCAGAGTCTCAGACAGTACGTCTTTGTACATGCGGCCGTCATTGAGGGTGCTCTGATGGTGGCCGACGAGGAGAAAGAGGCATTGGGAGCAGAGCACGTTGAGAAGATGATCCGTCAGCAGAGCGGCTCGTCCCATAGCAATGCTGTGCCGGCAGCTGGTCCGGTGTTTGTCTATAACGATATATTAACAGCCAGCTCATCTTCCCATGGGAAGAGAGGTGCCAGCCCGACTGAATTATTGAAGGAGGACAAGATGGGAGAGTTGAGAATGTCGAAAAGACCGAGCATCAAGAGGAAGCAGCGGAGTCATGACAGTGAACTGGCGGTATACTCTGCTAGGGATTCCCTTGGTGAGAGACTGACATTGCCTACGTTTGAGATAGGTAAGTGTTGTGATATTACGAGACGTCGTTGGTGCTAATATTGGCCCTCCCAACCACGTTAGGGTGATTGTTACGTCTCTTTGTGTCTTGGCATTCATTTGTTTCTTCCTTCCCTCTTTGTCGCCCTCAAACCCGTCATTCCTTGTTATTACCCAACCAGCATCTTTCCCAGCTAAAACTCGCATCAGTTTTGTATATATCTCCACCACCACAGAACCAATCATGGCATATAAATCCTATGATACAGGATACGCATGTATTTATTTCTCTGTTGTTGTCCTCAGTTACTCGTAATATTTGTATCGTTGCTCGTCGAGGAATCCTTGTCTAGTT